GTTCAAATCATCACAAATTATTAACATTTAAAACCGTAGACATTTAAAACCGTAGAAAATAAAATCAATTTTTCACAAAATCATTTCTTCAAAATCGGGAGAAGGATAAAGAAGACTACTCATAATTCATGAGAAGTATACGATAAAACATGGATTTCATATATAAAAATAAGTTTACAAACAAAAGAAATGAAAAATGCAACTTAACTCACATTCCTTCCCAAGCAAATTCCTAGAAGTTCTCTCAAAGTCTTTCCCTCTTTACAATCACTCTCAATTCTCTTTTAGAAATGTAATGAACAAGAATTCTCTCACCTTCCCTCTCCTCTTACAACCTTAGAAGAAAATCTCCTCTTCTCACTCTCTTTAACTCTCGCCAATTCTCTCTCTCTCCCCCTTGTCTCCCTCTAGAAGCCCCCTTCCTTTTGGGCAGCTTCCTCTCAAAAGAGTTTTAATTTCCCTCCAAAATTCAAAAGTCAAAACTTTGAATTTCAAAAGATGTGCCTCCTTGATCCAAGAGTCAAATCCCTTTAATTTGGAACCTTTCATAGTGTATAAATGCATTGAATCACTTCATGGGGTGCTTAGAACAAGTGTCTCTTTGAAAATTCGTACAAAATTTGTCTCAAACTGTCTTAATTTAAAAATGTCGCGGCTGGCGCATCATGCACCAGCACTATGGATTTTGGCGCATCCTGTGTCAAACCCCAAAATTGGTTGTTTTTGCTCCAAATTTTGCTCCTTCTGCCATCTTTTCTCCAAATGCCTAAAAATGATATACCTACAACAAAAACACAAAAATACATTTCTTTAAAGCACAATATCACCAAAAATAGACATAAAAAGAGTACTTAAAACATTATATTATTTTTGTGTATCAAAAACTTAAATGTTACTTGTCCTCAAGTGACACTTTTATTACATAAAAGCATATGACTTTAGGATAGAGATTAACTTATCACTTCTATACTTTAGTTCAATAAATAAAATAACAAAATTTAAGAAAAATATTAATAACTTAGGTTCAAACTCCAAGTCTAGGAATATTTAGCAATCAAATTTAAGATTTCTGAATCTCTATTCTTTTCAAGAAGAATTACAATTTATCATGCTAAAGACCTTTAGAACATTCATATGAAAAAGAAATTCATAAAAACTTTACTCGAAATGCTACTAGTACTTCAATACAAGTTTAGAAAGTGTAATAAAGCTTCTTCCTTAAGTTGATTCAAGTGAAACCAATTTTTTATCAAGCTTCTCGTCAAGCTTCTCTTCACCTGTTTTTTTCTTTTCTTTTCTTTTTTTAGGATCTTTTCAATCCTTTCTTTTCTTTTTCTTTTTCCTTTTTCAGGTGAGGATTACTATATTTGGATAGTCTTTAATAGTTTTGAACTTCACTATCCTCTTCTTAAAGAACTCCATACCTCTCCTTACTTAATAAAGTCATACTAGTTTATGATTTTTCATAAAGCCTCATTCCTTTCTTCTTACATGAAGCTCTAAAATTCTTAACACTTCAAAAATATAATTTTTCTTTACTAAAAATTGAAAAGCATAATCTTATCCTATCATACCAAATATCTTTAACTTTAGAATTGACCTTCATTATTAAAAACCTTTTACCTAAATTTAATATAATAGTTATAAACATAAGTATAGTCATTTAAAGTTAAATTTTAATATCCCAATTCATGTTAAATAAATTTTAAAAAATATAGTCACTCTAGAACAAATAAAATTTAGTTTTCTCCATTTCAAAAGAAAATTTTCTTTCCCCCAAACTTAAATTTTTAAATAATTTTAAAATCATTTTAGTATAAAATTTTTGTTGGTGAAAAAAAATAATAAATACATAAAAATAAAAACTAACCTGTAGAGGATTATGAACATGAAATTGGTTTTGGTATACTGCATGTATTAACTATAAAACTACATACAGACTTTAAAGCAATAAATAAAACATAATATATTCTAAAGAAATTGCTAAGATATAAAACAAAAATACTAAATCTGAAAAATAAAAATTAAAAATACTACACATTCAACAAGCTCAAACTGAAAATACTAAAACTAAAACTGAAAAGTAAACAGTCTAAAATTACTATTACAAATTACCGGTCCGCAATATAACATAAAAGTCTGAATATAACAGTCTCAAATAAAAAATGCAACACAATACAAACAAACACAAACAACACATAACATCAAATCAAACTAATTCTAAACTATCAGCCCTCATCTTCTTCCTCACCACCATCATCATCATCTTCTTCTTCTTCTCTTGCTTCTTCATCTTCATCGCGAATGGGAGCATAGGGAATAGAGCTGGGGCAAGTAGGAAAGTTTTCATTAGGTTCGCCCTCACCACACCTTTTAGGGAACAAAGCTACTCATTTTGTAGAAGCATGATTCCACCCTCACCACACCTCTTAGGATGTTGGATCTTAATTTGTCTTGTGAATCATGCCCAAGGAATAAAACATTAGTCATATGAAAGAAGAGAGATAGAAATTTTTAAACACACTTTATATATTTAGTGAGATTTTCGTTCGAAGTTCATTTTCTTAAAAATTATCCTCCAATTTATAGTTCATAAGTAGGACATGATAAATTACATTAACATCCTTATTAAAAAGGGGAAGTTACTAAAATTAATGAGCCATCACATTTACACACTTGTAACTGAATAACATTTATTTTGATCCCGTAACTATTGTTAACATCACTATATTGCTGTAACTGCCTTAAATACTAATTTACATTCGTTAACTGTCAAATTTGGTTGCTTGAAGTTCATTCGGTCGGCCATGATTCATTTGGCCGACCACACATCCTTCGATCAAAATAATGACCTTTGATTGCACATTCTATCGAGACTGAACGTGGAGAGAAATCGATCTTGGGTATGATTATTTCATCGGGTAGAAGGTGAATCACTGTAATCCAAAAATAGCCTTCATTCAGTCTATGCGTTTTTACTGAAGAACTTCTTCCTGGGCAACTGCTGATTTTCCTAATGGAAGTTACTGGAAAGTAGGTGCTGATGCAACTATGCAATATTCGTCAGATCGTTCGTTTTCTTCATTTGATCGACTTATCAAATCGTCCAATCCTCGAGATTTGCGTTGATGCATTCTTAATTTACATTGAAGTTGTCTGAGATATCAGCTATTTCGACCTGATTGTTCCATAATCTCTTACAATTTGATAACTCAGAATTGAGATCAATATATTCTAACTCAATGATGTCTTGCTTAAAATAAATTCCATTTAACTTGCTATTTGATCCTCGAGACTTGCGTTGATGCATTCTTAATTTATAGTGAAGTTGTCTGAGATATCATCTGTTTCGACCTGATCATTCCATAATCTCTTACAATTTGATAACTCAGAATTGAGATCAATATATTCTAACTCAATGATGTCTTGCTTAAAATAAATTCTATTTAACTTGCTATTGAATCAATGTATAATATAAACATGTATTTTTATATGTATATGTATTTATATTTATTTTTTTTAAATATATTTTAATCGATAAAAATTGGCTTATTTTTTTGTTGATAATAATAGGTGCATTTGCATACATATCACATAATTTTTATGTGTTTACATATCTGCCGCCTAACCATTTATATTTGTATGCATGCCATTTAAATATTTAAAATAACATAAAAAATACCAACATTACGATGTTTTTAAAAATGAAATATACCTTTCCATGCATAGTAAAATACTAAAGTATGATAAATGTAAATGTCAAATTTTAAGTGTTAGATATTCAAATATATATACCGATTGGTTCGACCGCGAATCGAAATTCAGCATGTTTGGTCCAAGCTCAAAATTTTTTCCTTATAAAATCAAGATTGAGCTGGTCAGATCAGGGTTGAAGCGGCGAGCTGGTCCGATTTTTAAAGAATCTGCATGGTAAAATATTTTTCAATTTTAACATTTTAATTTTGTTGAGATAAGAAAAAATAATACATTTGAATTAAAAATACAGAAAACTGTTGTGTATAAAATTTTTATTAAAAATATTGCTCAAAATATTTAAAGTATTGTCTTAAACAAAAAGTTATTTACTGTCAATAAAAAAAATATTAATATATCTTCATTATATTATTTAAATTTTATTAAAATGATTTAATTATTTATTACATCCTCCAGTTTACCTGTGGTTGAACTGTTAAATCTTAAATCTTTCTTTTTTTGTTCCATCTCTTGTCTAGTTTTAATAACATTGATTTGAATGCATTAAAATGATTTAAATATTTATTACATCCTTCAGTTTACTTTCGATTGAACTGTTGAATCTTAAATCTTTCTGTTTTTTGTTCCATCACTTGTCCAATTTTAATAACCTTGATTTGAATGTATTAAATTTTCATAATAATATTATAAATTAAATTTATCTAAAAAATAATATTATTTAACTTTGAAAATTAACTTGGTGAAGTTCTCAAAGTGAGCATTACTTTTGTTTATTCTCTTCTATTATGTTTGATTTGAATGCCTTTGATTTTATCTCAATTATTTTTACAATTAATGAATCTTTTACCATTCATGAATTAATTTGTACAATTATTTCTTCATATTCTTTTGATCTTGTTATAATATTTCTCCTCTATCTTAGAATTCATTCTTGTAAGAATATATCTATTATGAATACTGGATAACATTATATGAAATTCTTCATATATATATATATATATATCTCTATATATATATATCTATATATATATATATATATATAATTTATTCCATTATTTATTTATTTATATTTGTAAAACTATTTATTCAAATTTTTATATGAAAATTCAAGTACTCGTTCAAATTTTTAATTCATTTAAATTCTCATTCATTCATCATAAATAAGTCAATTATAAATCAAATTAATATAGTGAATAATTCAAATAAGTCAAAATTGAATATCATTTGAAATTTCAGCATAAATTCATACCAAACAGTTTACAATTTTAATCGAACAAGTACAACCGTTAACGATTATAACCCTAGCCGTGCGCCTCCGGACTTCCAAGCCTCGCCGTCTCTGCCCCTCCCTGCCAGAAACCTAAACCCTCGCCATCTTCTAGCTTGCAATGGACTCGAGGAAGAACGGCGCTACCGCGGCTTTTCACGAGCTCGTCAAGCACCACATTGAATCCTTCGATTACTTCCTCGACGAAGGGCTAGAGAAGGCTCTCATGGCGATCGAACCTGTGCATATTGTTGACCCATTCACTGGGTCGAAGCTAAAAAATATCCTTTTTTTATTTATCTTTTATGCACCTATTAACAACTTTTAAGTTGGTGTAGTTTGATCCTTGACGCTTTTCACTATTTTTTGAGAAGCCATACTTGTATCCTCCTACGAGAAATGGACGACTGAGTGAACCTATCTTTCCGGCTGAGGTTAGGTTTTTCTCCTTTTCATTAGTTTCATTATCTATTATTTATTTTGTAACATAAACTTTGATTTTTGCTGTTGGTCCTGGAGCAGTGCAGGCAAGCGAAGTCTACGTATAGAGGTGAATTCAAAATAGAAGTTGGGTTCCAGTATGATGGAGGAGTCGTCATAAGAGAGAAAATTAGCTTTGGGCATCTGCCGATTATGTTGATGGTCTTGTTCTGCCTTTTATTTTCATATATTCAATCATATCTCTGCATATCACTTTTTCATGCTCTCCATATATGTTGATAATTCTATATATACATTGTTTCCTAACTTATTTTTTTAACCTAAAGTTTCTAGAGTGCCTTCTCTGCTGGGCTGTAAGGCTGCAAGTAGGATTTATAAATTTATCTTTAGTATTTTTGTAAATATTTAGAGGAATAGAATTAATATTTGAAAACTGTTTGGCATGATAAGTGTTAAATCTTGCTAAATCCTGCTAAAATATTTCACTTTTGAATTTAGGATTTGAAATTTGTCTGGAAGAAGTCCTTAAATTTTTTAAATCCTGTGAATGGTGGGATTTAGAAAACCTGAATTTAAGCAATAATCGAATTGAAACTAAAATTGTCAAAATAATAGGACTTAAAGTCCCCAAAAATTATGTCTGTTGCGATTTAAGCTAAAAAACTCTAAAATCCTGCCTAAATAGGATACCAAACGGCCCTAAATTTTTTGTTTTTGATCTCTCTTTGAATTTATTGGTAGGATATGATAACATGCAAATGATGTATTTCTTATTCACAATTATCTGACAGCCACAAAATTTGCTTTTGCAGTCAAAGATTTGCCATTTAAAAGGATCCGATCCTCGAAAATTAGTACATTATAAAGAGGAGGCTACTGAAGTTGGCGGGTGAGTAGCATCTCATTTTATATTTATTTATTGATTGGCCACTGCTGATTCAAGTTGATAGCCTACTGTTTAGAACATTTTATTTTTGAAAATTATTTTTATTTGGAAGATTTACATACATACCACCACTCTATTCCTTTGTAACTACATATCTAACACCTAAACTTCAATTTTTACATACATACCACTGTACCCATGCATGAAAAAGGTGTATTTCACTTTTTAAAAGTTAAAATATTGTTATTTTTGACGCGATATACAAGATTTGGGCGGTATGATTGTTAACATAAAATTTAAGTATTAGATATGTAAATACATAGGAATTGGCTGGTATGTACATAAATGCCCCTTTTTTATTTTCTAATTTTGATAGAAAAAGTAATTGCTAATTCTACTTCTTACAAATTTGTGAATAAATGTGTGCGCATTTATGTTAGTCATGCTTAGACTACAAAGGGAATGCTTCTATATTAGAAATTCTCAATTATAGCCATTTTTATGAGCAATTTTTATTTGGAGTTTTTGTATTTTTTGGTATTGTAATACACTGTTTTCTTTTCGATCAAAATAGGCGATTTCTTAAAAAAATTCTTCTAAGTTGATTTAAAGTGGTGCAAAACTTGTCTGTTTGGTAAATTTTTGTTGCGATATTGAATGGGTTCATTTGATGACCAAGATACATATTTAATTTTTACAATCATAAAAAAAATTTCTAATCTAATTAATATATAACTAAGTAAAATATTTTAGTTAATTAATTAAATAAAATGTTAGAACTTAAAATCCATAAAACAATTTTTCTGGGAAGGCACTTAAATTTGCATTTGATTTGATAAAATTTGTTTTCTTAGTTAGAGTTTTAATAAAGATAGTGAGCATCTCCATATTTGAGGAGAGAGCAAGGTAGGCAGTAAGAGCATAACCAATTATTGGTCAGCTCCTTTTACCATATGAAGTGATATAGTAACTATTTGTCATTATTCAGTAATTGAGGAGTTATCAAATCATGCTAGAAATTGATCAAATAAAGTTGGCGTAGAAATTGGATATGATGAACATTTTTACCTATGATGAACATTTTTACCCAGAGTCATGCAACTAAGGAAGAAAAAGAGAGAATGAGAAAATGGTGAATGTTCTTGTTATTAACTCTTGAATAAACCAGTGAAAACAGAAGACAAAGCTTTATTATTTATTTATAAAATGAGTACAAAATGCTACAACCACTCATTATGCAAGGAAATAGATATATAAGAAAGAAAGAAACCAAGAAAATAAAGAAGAAAAACGGTAAGTGATGCGAAAGACGTGTCGCCAAAATGTGTTCCTTTTAGCGTGACCGGTTTAGCTTTATATGGTGGTTGTAATACTCTCCCAACAAGATAGACAATATAGATTCTTGATGGACATCTTGAACATGAGTGTCGATAACATGCAATGAGGTAGTGCTTCGATGAATATATCGACAAGTTGATGATTGGATCAAATTGACATTTTTTGATAGTTTAATCCATCGCTTTTTTCTTGAACGAAGTGATAGTCAATTTCAATGTTTTTTGTTCGTTCATGAGATGTTTGGTTAGTTGCTAAATGTATGATGGCTTGATTATTACAAGAAATAATAATTGGGAGTTATATATGCACCTTCAAATTATGTAGAAGTTGATTGAGTGAAATTAACTTGTTGACAGTTGCTATGAGGACCTTATATTTGGCCTTGACAGATGATCGAGACCATCATTTTAAAAGCGCGCTTCACCTGTAAAGCAAACCGTAACGCGAGACGCTTGATACTCTTTGCTGTCATGCGATATAAGCGAGCGTAGCGTGCTTTGCAGAGCTGAAGTGATTTGGTTCGGTTCACATGAGAGGAAATAAGAGTTTCAATTTTACTCTTGCATTGAAGTAGTATAAATAGCAGGGTGCTTGAGAGTCGAGTAACTCATGGGAGTCGAGCATCATCTTTGATTTCGACCTACAGTTCTTAGTGTGCTTCAAACAGTTATTCATTCGACTTTGGCTTGGGTTTCAATCGCAGGAGGCCTTCAGCTTTGGCCAGGGCTTTGACTGTGGTAGGCAGACTCTGTGAGCGCTTAGGGTTTGAGAGGGTCTCGTAAACCTTCGACTAAAGTGAGATTTCGAGCTTGCTGAAGTCGAGGGGAGAACCCTCAGATTTGACCGAGTGAGAAGCTGTGATCTAAACCTCAAGCAACAAACATGTATGCTTCTTATGTATATATTTGATATTTATTTATGATACTATGATATCATTTATATATATATATATATATATATATATATGATATTATATGAAATGGTATATTTCACTCTAGAGAAACTTATCTTAAGGATTTTAAATGTTATATAATTAAATGTTAGAATTTAGATGCTTTATTATTGTTCATGAATGTATTTATATATTAATAGTTTTATATAATCTATTAGTGCCAAACTTTAAAATTGCACAATTGGGCACTAAGGTGCTTTTCGTTTGTAAGGCGAGGCGTCAGCCTTTAGGCGTTTGAGATGCAAGCCTCAAATTTTAAAAATTATGTAAATTAATAATTTTTTTAAAATTAGAAAGTGTGAATTGAAAAAGTAAGATATTAATATTCTAACTTATTACAATATTAAAATGTAATATTATAGCATTTTAGCTAAAAAAAAAAATAAATTGTGTAGAAGTAGAAATAACATGTTATATCATAACATTAAATTATGAAAAAACGTGGGTTATACAAATGTTAACCCATCAAATTATGCAAAAACAACAAAATCTAACAATTAAAATAACTTTAATGTAATTTATTCACCCCGAATCATACTTCCCTCCTCTTAAATATGAATATAATAATTCATCAATATTTAAAATTTTAAATTTAAATGTCTATATTACTCTCAGTATTCAATTTATTTTTATTATAATCGTTGAAATAATAAATTATTTATCTCGAGCTTTATCCTTAGTCGTATTTATATTCTCCCATTCTTCATTACAATTAATTTCAATTTTTTTTACTTTTTAATGAATAATCGTTTATAAAAATATTAATTAAAATAAATGCTATGCTAATTTTAGAATTACAACTACATAAATTTTTATTGATATATATTTCTTTTAATTCTTGTTGTTTAGTGTATGAGATGTGAGGGTTAATAGTTGAGGTATATTTATATTATTTTGACTTTTGTTAAAATATTGCGGATAGCCTTAAAAATTTGAGATGTTTTTTGAGGCGAGGCACGCCTGAAGGTGTTCCTCAACCCTGTTGAGGTGTACGCCTCACTGAAGGATAATGAAACGTAAGCCTCATTGCAAGTTTTTATAAAAAGCGCTGAGACAAGCCTCAAGATACACATCATAACGTGCAATTAAACAACAACTATCACTTTGGTCAATAAAAGTATCGCTTCACTATGCACTTTGAAGCAAAAATAAAGACTTGCACATTGTATTGCACTTTGTGTTTTGATAACTTTGATTGTGACACTATATGTTACTTTTTTATTCTTGAAGTTACCAAGGAGTTTCCTAGAAAGATAAAATATCCAAAAATTGATCTTTTTTGTGTCGCTACAAGACCCCCAATCCACATCGGTAAATGCTTTGAGGTGCAATATGGATGATCTTGCAAATTGGATTCTCTGTCCAGAAGCATATTTTTTGTATTCAGGAGGTAGTAGATGGCTACAAGGTGCCAGACATGCAGTTAGTCAGATTTTTGGCTGAGCTTATGAACAACAAAAACTATTTATGGTCTTGATAAGGTCATGTTGATAGACATCCGATAAGATCAATATTATAAGGGGTCGGTCAAGAAATCTCCATTGGAGGCATTAAGTTGATTTTGAGGGTCCATGGGTCTTTTGTTTGATTTACGAACAAGCATACACACATCTTCTAAAAGTTGTGAAGCATATTAATTTTGTGAAAGAGGAATCACTTCACTTGATCTAGCAATCTTAAGCCTAATGAAGTATCTTAACTTTTCGAGGTTTTTTAAATGAAATTGTGAGTGCAAGAAAGCTTTTGTGGCATTAATGGCTTTATTAGATGCCCTGTGATTATAATGTCATCAACACAGACGAGGAGAGCTATGAAATTATCGCCCGTCCCTTTGGTGAATAAAGAGTAATCTAATTTTGATTGGGTGAATTCGAAATGGATTAGAGACTGCGAGAAATTTGAATGCCATTGCCTAGTAGCCTATTTTAATCCATATATGAATTTTCTTAGATGGCAAAAAGTTGTTGATTTGTAGATGGTGCTGCCCTTTAACGGTGTATCCTTTTGGTAACTCTATGTAAACTTCTTCAAAAAGGTCCTTATAAAGAATACATTGTTGATATCTTATTAAATTAGAATCTAATTTTGTGTAACGACAAGGGCTAATTGCACTTTAATAGTAGCCATTTTAGCGAAGGTAAAATGTCTCATCAAAGTCTGTGGCTTGTTGTTTGTATCCTTTGGCGATAAAACACACTTTGTACTTATTGATTTATCTATTTGAGTTATATTTATTTTTTTTAAAGTCCATTTACCTTCAATGATGTGTTTTTTAGGTGGAATAGTGGTGATAGACCAATGGAGTGTTTGGGGGCGGCGGTGTGGTGCCGCACCACAATTTTTCTTGTTTGACAAAACTTCGTTCTCAAAAAACTGCAGCTAAAAGTTGAGTTTTCCTATCAGACCTTGCTACCTGCGGTGGTTGCTAGAAAGCTGCGTTTTGAATTTAAATTTTTTCTTTGTGATAGGCACCACAATTTTTTGTACAACTTCTTCAGCAGCTTCACAACTGCTTCTTCCAACAACTGTAGCTGCCCCAAACAGACCTTTTGTGGAGTTCTAAAGTGACGAGCTCGTCACTAGGGGTGTAAACAAGCCGAACTTGAGCGAGCTTAGGCTCAGCTGGTGTTCAACTCCTTAAAAATTACCACTCTTTGTATTCGGTTTGTTTATATTTCGAACAAAAAAAATGTGTTCGTGTTAGACTCGCTTGCTTAGCGAGCTGAACACGTGCTGTTCATGAACAAAGAGTCGTTTTGTCAACCTTAGTCATGCAATCGTAGGATTTTAGGGGTTGGAGCGAGATTTAAATCTTATGATTTATATTAAAACATAATTTAAATATCACATAGTATATTTTTTTTCTATTTTTTAATTAATAGTTTTAATTGATTATAAATCTTTGTAGGCTTGTAGTCAATTAAAATTTTTAAAAATACTACTCATCAAATATATTTATGTGCTACATATATATGTAAATATATATATGTTTAACATGAATGAACAAATCTTTGTTTGTGTTAGACTCGTTTATATATCGAGCGCAAAAAAAAAAAAATTGTTCTTGTTCGACTGGTTAACTTAGCTAAGGAATCAAACACGAGCTTCTAAATGAGCCTAACACGAACTGCTCACAAACAACGAGCCATTTTGATAGCCTACTCGTCATCCATGGCTTGCTGCGATTCAGGCACCTTAACGGCTTGATGATAATTTTGAGGTTCAAAGTTTGATTATATGTTTAAAATATAATACCCGCTTGAGGGTGATAAGGAATCATTTGAATGATGATTGATAAGAGATTAATTAGTTTGTTGAGAACTTTGATGAGGTATTGGTGTCAACATCATTAGCAAGTTTATCTAATTTAGACAAATTGCAATGATGCTTGCGAAAGTAAGACTACGGTTTAATAACTTTGTTAGAGTGTCGTGTAGCGATTCTCGTAGGAGGTGGATGCATAGTATTAGCTTCGTTAGCATTTTCATGGTTAAGGGTATCTATATGTATTAAGTATTGTTTTGGTGAGCTCTCGATAATGGCATTTGGTGGACAAAGTTGGAAGACGGGTCAATGTTGATTTATTTGTTCATACAAGATTGGAAAGGGAATTGATCCTTGTGAAAGATTGTCTCGGATATGAAAGTTTGTTGGGATTTGGGATCATATAATTTATAAGCTTTCATCTGGGGAGATATCTTAGGAAGGCACAAACATGAGCACGAGTTAGAAATTTTGTTTGATGAGTGGTGAGGGTAGAGACAAAAAGGCTAAACTTTCAAAAACCCAAAGGTTGAGTAATCAATGTTAGCATTGTATCGTAATTCATAAGGGATTTTGAAATTAAGTATAAGTGATGGTATTTGATTAATTAAGAAGTGGCGGTTAGAATGCATTCAGTCCAAAGGCTTATGGGGATGTTTGATTGAAAATATATAGCTCGAGGAACATTTAGTAAGTGTTGATGTTTACCTTCAACTACTGATTTTTTTTTGTGATCTATAAAAGTAGATGTTTACATTAAACATGTAATATCTCTACCGAAGTGAATACGCATGTTTCAGATTTGGTAGGGAAATGATGGTCAGAGATATGTCTCTTATTTGTGAATAGCTTGGTACTTGGAATAATGTGTTTGAATGCCCGAATCAACCATCCATTGAATATCAGATTTCGATTTTGAGTTTAAGGTAGATGAAAGACATGATTGAATGATTCCTACCATTGCTAGTACGTGTTGCATTGGAGTTTAAGTGATTTACTAAAATTGTCATCAATTGGTGTTCTTACTTATTTAATGATTGGAAAGTGTTCACATCCTCCAAGGTTTTATTTTTCTCCGACGTGAACACCTCATTGACACTAATGTTTGATTCTTTGTTGAATTACTTTCATTTGAAACCCAGAGGATTGTTGTGTAGTTTGTAACATTTCTTTATTGTGTGATCTGGAACGTCGTAATACATGCAATAAGGCTTTTCCATCTTATTTTGTTTACCATTGGAACTTCCTGCTCCAGAGTTTCTGCCTCCAGTTCCCAATTCATTGGTTTTGTTGTGTGGTTTGACAGCAAAAGCAATGCCATGTTCATCCCCATTAATTGTATTCATCGAGCTGGTTTGGGATGCTTTACGCTGATCGTTTTCTTGTGTGATTAATGAAAAAATGCTAGTGGAGGGAGGGGATCCATCGGTAGAATTTGCCCTTTAATTTGGGAAATAAACTAGTCGAGACCCATGAGAAAGGATAGTGTGTACTCATTATGATGATAGGATGTGATCTATTTTATACCTCCTTAAGAGCATTTCCCGCAAGTGCATGCCAGTTTGAAATTGTTCAATTCATTCTGTATGGTTTTCAACTTAGTGAAGTATATGCTAACTGAACTTTGTCCTCGTTTCAGAGAGATTAGTTCTTACCTCAGTTGAAAGATTTTGGGACCATTATTCTGTTCGAAATGATATTTGAGTTCGTTCCAAATTTCTGATGCATTCTCTAGATATATAATGCTTGTGGAAATGTCTTTGGAAACATAGTTGATGATCTAAAGATAACATTATTATTATTTCTAATCTAGTAGTTCTCAAGATTGGAATATGCTTCTATGGGTGTAGCAAAAGAGCCATCTATACGTCCTTGCTTATTTTTAGCAGATAAGATGATAATCATGGCACAACTCCACAAGTAGTAATTGTCACCAGTGAGAATTTGTGAGACCAATGCCATACCTGGTTAGTTGGAATGGTGAGAGCATCTTCCATTATGGATCTGCTTCCTGTTTCTTCCGAGGATCGCCCTCCCTGATGATTCTTCCAAGGCAGGCGAGAGTAGGGCGAAGGTGATATGGAGTTGGAAGATGCCATTGGTGTTCTTTGAGATGCGATGCGAAGCGATGTAAAAGACAATGGTGATCAGGCATAGGAGGACGAAGGATGAGAGGCCCCTTTTTGTTTATAGTGGAAGAGCACACTCCTTGATACCATCTTGAAGAACGCAGGGAAAGCAAAAGACAAACCTTTATTATTTATTAATAAAATGAGTACAAAATGCTACAACCACCCATTATGCAAAGAAATAGATATATAGATACATATAGAGCTGAGATGAGATTAAAAGAAAGAAATAAATCAAGAAAATTAAGAAGAAAGATGGCAAGTGATGTGACAGGTGTGTTGCCAAAACATATTTCGATAGTGTTCGCAGTTTCAACTTTATATGATGGTTGTCATAAAACCTATCCTTTGACTCGATTAGTTTTGAGAATGAGCTATAGGGAGGGGGGATGTGAAGTAGGTGGCGATAAATATCAGAGATCAATTCTTTTTTATCCTATCACAAATAGGGAGTCAAGAAGTTAAGATATGTTAGCATATTCCCTGACTTATACATAGGAGTAATATATAATTAGTAGAGTTTAAAAGTATATCATAAAAATAGAACAAATATTTAACCAAGGGCTTGTTTATGATCAATTTTGCTTTTTTTTTTTTTTTCATTTGTTTACAAAAACATGTTTGTTTAGTGTGCTTTTTACATATTTTTATTTTTTGTGTCTTAAAATAAATTAATGTTTTTAAAAAGACTCAAAATAACTTTTAGGTGTTTTCATATATATTAGTGCTGTATTATTTCAAATCAAAACATACACAAAATAAAATAAATATAAAAAATAAAAAATAAAAAATAAAAGTGATCCCAAATGACCCCTAAGCATTTTACGGATATGTCAAAGAAAATACACGAGCTCATAAATTTATTTGTGCTTCTATGCCAATTTATTTGTATGATATCTTTTTTGTTCTAGCAAATTGTTTTTAGTGAATAATTGATGTTAACTAGTGCTCGACCTAGAACTATTATCTTTTTCACAAGTTATTCTATTTCTTCTAGTATAATATTTTGCATTCATCTACTTTTCAGATATTTCATTTCTAATGGGCTGGAGCGGCTTGGTCGTCTTTTAATGATTCAAAAGCGCAATCATGTGAGATTTTTGAGATCATCAATCTGAATATTCAAACTAGCATCATTCATTATTGATAATGAAAATTTTCATTCTTTGTTTCAATGCATTTTAACATGCCTTTCTTGTCAACCTTTTGCATAATTTCTTGGATAGTTTAGAGGTATTTTGGTAACAGTCCATTCCAATTAAAATACATGTTTCTTATTTCAGCCAGTGAGTGTTGTTCGTCGTAGTTTTCGTGGTCGAGGAGATGGTTTCAGTGATAAAGCAGTTGGAATAAGGTACTATTCTTACTATTCATTTGGTTAATCAAGTTTTTCATATGCTTGTTTTGCTTGTTTGCTTTTTCCTTGCGTTTTTAATCTGGCCTTCTCTTCATTTTTGTACACTTTTTGTTTTGGCGGTATTCGTCTGGATAGAGAAATTTTCCTACATACATTCTAATGCTTTCTTAGATATTTGTTAAAAGAAAAGAGGAGAATGTGAACTAACACATTTAATTTTATAATCAAACCCATCTCTTTGGAGCTAATTAGATTGCAAACTACTCTTGCTTGTTAACAAATGAATGTGGGAAGCATTATTAATAGTTTAATCATGGTTACATTTTGTAATGAGTTGAGCGAACAATGATGAGAAAGGAATCAATAATTTAAATTTGATGAGGTTTGCGTAGTTTTCTTTTCCCTTTCTAATTTTCCCCATTTAACACTTCTTGTTGAGTTTTTTTTTATTTAATCCTTTTATTTCAATGCTGGCTGAGGGTGGGGATGTAAGCAAAGGAGAGGGAGTTGGAGGATGAATGGGAGCGCGATATAAAGGTTCATAACTGGAAGATAGTGAAGCAGCTAGAGGAGAATGGGGATGGAGAGATAAATAGGTGGTGGTGGTCGTAGTTTAAGGGGTGTCGGACTGTTGGAGAGGAAGAGTGATGGATTATGGCCAATCTTAATTACAAAAAAGAGTTTTCTAAGCAAAATTGCTCAATTTAATAGCTAATATGACAATTCCAAGAAATTTTGATTCCTGCTTCCTTGGCTTGGAATAGAGCTGTGTAAGTTGTTAAAGAAGTTAGAACAATAATAAATGTGAGGGAAATATCAAGTTTAGGGTAGACGTGAGCATGAAGAAGGCAGAGAGTCAGTATGAAGTAGCTTTCAAGTTTCTTTGTAGGAAGAGGAAGTGAGGGAGCAGGTAGGAGAGGTGGAGAGATAAAGAGATTTTGGTTTTTTTTTCTCTTATTTGGGGAGGGGGTTGGGAGTTTTGGGGTGGGTGTTTTTGGGGGGTGTTATAGAAAGGCGAGGGAGTGAATCAAGACAATCATAATCACAAAGTGGAGTTTACTAAACACGCAACACAAGAACTTTTAGATATAAAATTAATATTGCAATTTCAGCGATTGTAGGTTTCCTGCTTTTGGACCTTGAAATAGTGTTGTTTAAGTCAGAAGAAATGCTGCAATGGTAGTTATTTATAGAAATAATTCTTAAATTTTGTTGGTCTTTCTATTAGAACAGCATAGTGAGTGTTAGTCAACATGCAAGGAGTTAATATTTTTAACAAATTAAATGCTAAATCTGGCTTTTAGCAAATAAAATAATAAATGACAGTTCAATTGATGTATCTGATTGAATTATTTATTTGGACACCTATCTTTTGTGGTATCGTAATAGATGCTGTTTTAGTTTTTTATTAACATATAATACTAAACAAAGATTATTTTTTTACAATTAATCAAAATTTTATTCTACCTAGAAAAGGTAAAACACTACACTTAGCGTATGTTGATATAAATAATTTTCAAAAAGAATTGAAGAGCCAATGCTTCTACGGAATAATGAACACTTTAGCTGTCTAACTTTGTATCACTAGTATTTTTGATGATAGACTTGAAAGTAACGTTGAAATTAGGTTTTATATCCCCATTGCACCAAAGTTTCTTTAATAAATATGTCACCGTACATCCTATTTTTATATTGTCATGTAGGTTAGTATACCCAAGGAGATCTTCGTACCAAAATAATGCAGATAAATTTAGATCAACAAGGATTTATCAATAGTTTAATGTATCTAAGACAGTAATTGCTTATAAAATCAGCATTTATTTCTTCTTGATGAGAGTACTTAGATGTATTAATATTTTTACTATCATCTACAGATAGCGACATCGACATGGATAATTTTAATATTCATTTTCATCAATCAATATCAGTGTACATATTAGTTTTGGTGTTATGTCTATTTTTTTGAATATCATATCGCATCTTAATCACGCGCGCGCGCACAAAAAAAAATGAATAT